GTATTGCCTTAATAGCTTCACGATATTCCATCTTCGAGGTCTTGAATAGATGGAAGTCTGTTGGCGTAAACCTTATCCTATACGTGGTCCGAAAAGAAGGAGCCGCAAGATCTCGGTGATCAATTGCGATCACCTTTTCGAGAGATAACACGGTGAGGAGAGTTTTCCCTTAAAAGATCATTGGTCTCGTTGCCTGCGCGGCACATAGCTCCGTCTTTTTGAACGTAAGCGTTTTTCAGATTAATTAATCATCTCTCGATGGCACAATCCATCAATCCATTCACCGTAACTGTTGTTACAGCGTAATTTTCGAAAATCTAAGGCCAAATAACTACAATAAGTTTTGGGTTTTCTCGAGCCCCAGATGTGACAATTTTGCTTATTGTCGTAGCCATCGAGTTGGAAATGGGCCTCATCAGTCATCAGCTGAGCTTTCGATCAAATTTAAGATAATTTCCATGCATTTCAAGGATCCGATCAGCAAAGACACGAGATTGTTGATGATCGGCCCGCTTGATTTCTTGTGTAAACTGCGCTTTATAAGCCATAAGGTCCAAGTCTTTATACAAAATATGATGTAATGATGTTTGTGGAATGCCTAATTTCAAACAACGACGAGGAATGGCCAGAACTGAGGTTTCTTCAACACTTTGGGCTAGAGCAGCAATATTCTCAGTTGTTCTTGAGCGACGAGCACTGGTTTTATTCTACATATCACTCACTTGTCCGAAAAGCTCCATCTCTGTCACCAAGTTCTGTGTTGTGGTCGGACAAAAATGTTCACTGCCAGGTTTTCACCATTTTTATAGTGTTACACCTTACACCTTATTTTTCTTAACACGAATTTTTTTCCCTCAAAGCGATTTTTCACATTCTGGTAATTTTTTTATAACAGTAAATTTCAGCTATTATTTCTCTTTTTCCTTGGTATAATTAATTTTCTTATAATATACTTAATGAATTAAATTGTGTAAGCACGAAATAAATTAAGTGAATTCTAACAAGAATTTTTCAATATTTTTTACACAGAAATCTCTTTTTAGAAGATTTTTTTTTTAAACGAATCCTATCGAATTAAAGGTGATTTGGGCATATTTCTTTTTTATTTATTTTATTTTTTTTTGCTGTCGAAAAAGTTTAATTTTCTGTATGAATAAACTATTTGTCTTCAGCCTCCTAGCTTATAGGAACCCAACCATTTATTCTTTTTTAAATCAAATAATAAAATTTTTATTCCAAAAATTGTTTTTGCATATGCAATAAAAAATACTTGTTTAACCGCAAGCGTAATATAAATAGCATTCCATTTATTGCCAGACTTTTGTAATTGTCATATTTAATGCTTGCCACAACACTACCGCATAACGACCATAAAGAGTCTTTTTTTTTTGTTGGTTGCTATAAATATTTTTACTGCTAAATAATAAAGATGTTATTGAAATAAATTTCCATGTACATACATGTGTATTTATATATACCTACATATATATGTAAGTATATGTATAGAAATGTGATATTAAAGTTCATCTTCTGCTGTTATATAACCACAAAAGCAGACAAGAAGGCACCGTTGAAACAACTTTCACAAGACAGTACCCAATTTATGCGCAGAATATACATACATACATATATTTTTACACAGATATTAACATGCGCATATACGGTATATATGTAGTCGTATTTTTGAACAAAAAATACATTCTAACTCTACGTCTGTTAGCAGCCTATTGTGGGTGTCGAAAGTAGCTCGTTCAGATCTTTAATGGCCACGGTGAGCTGTCTTTGAAATAAATGCAAAAGATACGCTTTCCAAAGAACGTATCGGGTTTGTAAGCCGCACGAGAAAATGAATTTCTCTGTTTTGTCCGTTAGCGCGCCGAATTTGCAAACTCGTTGCTTAAATTGATCCACAAGCTGCCTAGAGGCCGAGTTATCTCGAAGGCTCACATTTTTCAGTACTTCCGAATTTTCTACAAGCGTATTAAAAGTAGTATTTCTTTGGTTTTTTCTTATATTAGGACAAGTAAAAAGTTCGTTCGGTTTTTTTATTGATTTTTCAAAATATGATAACTTTGTGTACATTTGTCCGCTTTATGTCAAATATGCGCCGTTTCGTTCGTGAATTTGTTTGCCAGCGAGATGTCACTTCATTATACCCCTCTCGTGGAAGACTACGTCCCTATTGGCAAAAAGTTCGGAAAGCCAATTTTCACAGGCCTCTCTTGAGGACAACTTCTCGCCATTAAGCGCGTTTTCCATGAACAGAAAAATATGGTAATCACTTGGTACAAGCTCCGTCCAATAAGGTGGCTGCATTAAAACCTCCCATCCGAACTCCTGGAGCTTCTGGCGCGTCACCAAAGACGTATGAGCCCTGGCGTTGTCCTGTTGTAACACAATTCGGCCTCTGTTGATCAAAGCTGACCTCTTCTAGATGCATTATACCTGAAAGCGGTCCATTTGTTGGCAGTAGAGGGCCGAATTGAGCGTTTGGCCATAGGGGAGCAGCTCGTAGTAGATGAATCCTTGCCAATCCCACCAAACACACAGCAAAACCTTCCTGGCCATCAATCCGGTTTTGGCCACCGTCTGGGCCGCTTCCCCGAGCTTTGACCACGATCGTTTGCGCTCGATGCTGTCATAAGTGAACAATTTTTCAACGCCAGTTACAGTCCGCAGATGCAAATTCGGTCCATCATGTTTTTTTGCGTTACTTTGTGCTTCTTTTTGAATCCGCCTTGATCGAAGAAAAATTGTAAGATATAGCGAATTTTCTTTACTGAGTCTACCAATTGAAAAACTGTCAAAGACAAACTTTTAGTGCGAATAAATACGTTTTCGCCACCGTATAGTATGACATGATGCGACACGTAACACTACTACTATGGACAATAACGCCATCTCTTGGACAAAAACCAAATGAACTTTTTACTTGACCTAATTTAATAATAACATATAAAACCCGACTGGATGCAGTTAATATTTTCTCAACGTTGGGTATATGGTCCAGTAATAAAACTCCCAAACGGTTCTGAAAAGTTCGCTTGACTTACTAAAGTTTTCATTTTATGGTGTAAGTGATTTCAGTTCTTCGCATAAATATATATGTGAAGAATTTTTTTTTGTAACATTCCAAACCTCTAACGGCCTTCCCAGCAAATTTTTTTAAGAAATTCTTGAAGAGGGAATCAAAACGACTCATGTACCGTAATATTTTCTATACTCAACTCAACCGAATTCGGTTAAAAACTCATCCTACTCATCTCGTATATATGTGCATATGTATTTAATTACACAATCTCTAAGCTAGCCCATAGCTATTAATGGAAAGTGATTAATAAATGTTTGTGTATACAACAAAATTTGTTGTAAGACTTTAATAAACTCTACTACTTTAAATCATATAATCAACCGAAATTTGTATGCATTTTAATCGGCTTATAGCGCTTTGGGTGGGTGCAAGAAGCGTAAGCGAAAGCAATGAAACTCGCCCACAACTGCAGCGATACATAACAGCTTTATTATTATGTAAATTTTGCTATGCTGCGGCTCGATGAAAGGATAAATGTTGATATGTACTACGAGTATATTATATACGCATTCACATGCAAAATTTGTGTGCTGACAAATAAGTACGTGCGCAAATACCATGAAGCCGCATAAAACCTCGTGCGATTAAGTAACTGTACAGTTGCTTATGTAAGTGACTGATGAGAATTAATATCTACGGCATGAATGCTAACTCCTCAAGGATAAGAAGAATATTAATATTTGTATTTATATAAGATGATACTCAAAATATTGAAGCGATTGAAGACAACCCTCTATTTATCTTATTTTGTTATGAATATTAGTAGGTTATCGAGTTTCCGGTATAATTGGGAATAAAGTATGTATGTAAAGAAAACTGACCCCCACTAACTGTTAGTTCAATAGAGAATATATGTACGTACTCAAGTTAAATAGACAAAAATGAAAAACATAATTAAAGTTATGCAACAGAATATGGGAATTCTTCATGCGAGCAGTTAGCGAGTTTTCGAAGTTGGAATAATGGGAATTATCAGAGCAGTGCTTGATATTTTTTTACTTAGCTTATTCCCTCTCTAATGAAAGAACATAAATTTTGTTAATGGTCTATCTAATAACATCATGTTCACATACATATATATCTCTCATATTTATACGCGATTTATATACAAACATAATCTGAAAATACAAATATTTACATTTAAATGCCAAAAAATTCGCCTGAAGGCTTGTCGAAATCACTTTCTCTTGTTTTGTGAAAATGTTTGTTCTGCTTTTAACATCATGACAAGAAGTATATGTGAATACTAATGTTTATATATTTGTTTATTGTGCTTAATCTACTTTGAATTGCACATAGAAATGAATAAAATACGTAATAAACATTTAATAGAATCTAAACCACTTTACTTGACATTTTCCGAAACAATTGTGTGGGTTGACAATTAAATAAATACTAAAATTCAAAACAATAATATGTTACTATTACAATATATTTTCATTCATAAGGACATCAGTAAACACACCGAATTATTAAGGTTAATGTTTCTGACAGGTAACCAAATACAGCCATCTTTAGAATCGTTTATGACATTAATACATATCAGAATTATTAATAAAGCAAAGTAGTTCAGTGTCAACACATTTGAATTTAAGATTTTTTGTTGAAGTTTGTTTCATTTTATTTTATTTCTGTTTTATTTTATTTTATTTAGTATAATTTATTTTATTTTATTTTATTTTATTTTATTTTATTTTATTTTATTTTATTTTATTTTATTTTATTTTATTTCATTTCATTTAATTTAATTTTTATTATTTTGTTTACTTTATGCTGTTTTGCTTTATTTTTTTATTTTATTCAAATTTGCTTCATTTATTTAGTTTAATATATTATATATTTTGTGTTTATTATTCTTGTTTTATATCCTATTTCATTTTTAATTAACGTATTCTATCTTTTATTTCAGAAGTTTAACTAAACTTAACTCCAACAGTTGATTTCCCACATCACCGGAGGGGAAAGCGAATATCCTTCAACCAATATCCTTTCAGAAGGCATTAGAGTTATATAAGAGAAAAAGCAATAAAGCGAAAAATCAATAACTGTCAACAACGATGGACGTTAGAAAGTATTTGGGTTTATTGGCGTTGATGCTGCTCTCCGTGCTGGCATTCCACAGCAGCCCCGTGGAGGCGTGCAGTTGCATGCCCAGCCATCCCCAGACACACTTTTGCGAAGCTGATTATGGTAAGTGTAACAGCGGAAGGCTATATCAGAAACAATACTCATGGCCTGTAGTCCACAAAAATGACTCTCAGCGCAGGAAGACACAAGTGCATGACACGTGGTGTCCCTCTTCTTACGCCGGAAGTCACTGTGTAAATGTTATTGTACTAGAATATAGAGAAAAGTAAATAAAGGAAGGAAATTCTCGTGGCTACGTACCAGTACAGTTATAATAAAAGTGAGTGCTGCAGCAGCGCAAATTACATTATCTCATGAAAGTTAGCTGCTAAAGCAAGTACGAGTGGTAGTATAAAGTTCGTAGCATGCAACTGCTGTCCGCCTCTCGGTACGACAGCTGATATGAAGTGTATTTGCAACAGCTACCCATGCAAGTCAGCGCAATGGTACTCAGACATTTTGCCATCGAATTTGTTAAGTAGAAATATTACCACTACATTTCCTTTAAGCATTTATTTCATTTCGTGTCTCACTGGTTTTATGGAAAATTCTGTACTTCGTCTGGCAATCTGCTGTGGCAGTAGCAAGAATTCAACAAATATATTATTTTTTTTTTATTTGTAAATATTTTTATATTATATCATCTGCTATTGGCGCCACTGTTTCAGTTTATTTACTCATGTACTCTTTCCCAGTAACTTCCTGACGCTCAATACCCTAGTGACTAGTTAATGTTTATCGTTAGAGTTCGTTATTGTTTCTTTACTTTTGTGTTGAGTCTTGTACAAGTGAATGTTGAAATCATATTTTTCTACTCAATCAATTCACTAGGGAAATTTCCCCAATCGCCTCTACGTTTGTTCTTTATATCATATTTTCTTTCACGTCCCAAGTTTAGCTGTAAGGGTACAGGGCGTATACTTGTCTTCGATATGCTACAACAACTATGTACTGTATAGCACTCTACAGTCATAAACGAGCATGTACATAAATCAGTGTTGAAGCGATCTTAAAATACTTAAATCATTTCATCAAATTTAGTTTGCAACTGGTCGCAAGTGCAAGTAAACAACAACTGGAAATCTATTTTCTTAAAAGCATCATAATTAATATTTATGACTAAAGAGAGTTGGAGAGCTGTTTTTTTCTTGGCTGTGACAAAAAGCATATGTTAGTCTAAAGTTACTCTAAGAGCGGACATGCAATTGTATAATACTCAATTATAATTCTAAGATAAATCTGAGAGATTATTAATTCAGTAATCACTGAAAAAATTCCATTTTATGTGATATCGCTCGCCAACATTTTCCATCGGGCTTCTTCGACTCAACCTAGTTTAGAAAAGTAGAACAACAATGTTGGCAAAAGAGCAAAATCTTTCCACAGTGAAACTCCATCAATGCTTATACTATCAGAGTTATCAACATAGCAATTCTTAGTGCTTCAACTACCACATGACATCCTCCAAGGTACAGAAGTTTTATTTCGACTACCATAACCCCAAGTTTTCGGTCATGGAGTGCCACGAAAGCAGCCTTTCCTCCAAGTCTACTGCTCCCATCTCCTACAAAATCCGTCCATATAATTTGTTTGCCCCACTGAGAGGACGTAGTTGTACTGATCCTGATATATCACAGAAAATCACTTTTGCGAACAGGACCTCCTTTGGCTGAGTTTGCAAGTGAAAAATAAAGCTCTCTATCGAGAAATCAAAATTAAGCTCCACATGTCAGCTATCATTCACTTCTATGATGCAGAAGTGCGGACTATGATAAATCTGCATTGAAAGTTTTGGTGAAAAAGATTATTCAGAAGATTAAGAGTCTTCTAAGATTGGTACAGTTCGAAGAATAATGAAGAATGAAGAAAAAATTTCCAGCTAAAGTCCGTAAGCATTGTCAGATAGTGGCTTCGTGTGATGATTATAAGAATGGGATAGTTTTGCTGGCTCCACTATGAGTGATTAGTAGAAAGAGTAAGTAGCAAGAGAGCTTCCAGATTAGAATTAGTACAATACTACCTTGTATCTTAAAAATGACTCAACTTCATCAATGTAAAGCAATGCTTGGCTTAACAGACTGTATTGACTAGGCTCAGTTCGTTTTGAGAAAAGTAATATTTAAGACATTACATTTCTTTTTTAATGGCCTTCTCGGACGTGTATTTTTCAAATAGGCTTTAATTTCTTCGAAGTTTATCCTTTTGATAGCTGTTACTTGGCTAAGTTTGCCATTTTATAAGGATTGGCTTGGTTCGCGTTGGTTCGCGATGGAGCTCACTTTTGGTTGTAGAGAAAGGAAGCCGGCCATAAAGTTACAGTCAATGATTAATGACCCTTTCGTCAACAAAGAATGTTGATGTGGAATACCTCTGGCTCCGACAGGATGGCGCCAATTAGAATACAGCCAATGAAACAATCAATTTATTGACGAAAACTTTTGAAGAGCGTATTATCTGGCGTCTTGAGCCTGTGGCGTGGCCTCAAAAATTAAATATCTTGCGGGGTGTTACATGAAGTCGCTTGTCTACGAAAATAAGCACGAGGCAATTGACACTTGGGAAGAGAATATTCGGCGAAATATTACTGATATTTGGCCTCGATAGCCGAAACAAGTGGTTGGGGTTCGCTCGGCTGGAATTCATTTGAGTCAGTCACGGCAGTCACTAGCAAGAAATCATTTTAAAAACACAATGGTAAACCCTTACTATTATAATCTAGCTAAATTTCTGACCGTAACATGAAATTATAGGAAGTTTGTGATCATTTTATGGCACTTGCGAGAGCCGTCAAAATCAACATGAAGCTCCAAAAGGGTATACCTCTCTACAAATGCCGATCAGACTAACTAATCCCAAACTTAATGTGCGTGCCTACATCGGAAATCTACGGAAGCACCTTAGAAGACAAATTCAAAAGTGAATAATAAGGTCTAGAGCTGGTCAAAGCAGATCTCTACTTGAATAATTCGATATTTTACGTTTAAGAAGAAAAGTTCTTTCCGATGTTTGGGGACGCATTTATCTAAATTTGAGAAATTTTTTTCTTCTAACTAAACCTCTCTGTTTATGAATAATGCAAATTGTGATGTATTCTAAAAATGTTTTTCTGCTTCCACATTACTCTTTTCAGTTGTCTTAGTACGTGTTATGCGCAAATCCTTGCGTCTCGTTGAAAATAGCGTCGCCTACAAAGTACAGGTGAAGAAGTCTTATAAGGTAAGAAGACTTGCAAATAAATCAATTGGAATTTTTTTTTTTAATTTTTGCCAAAAACAATCTAAAGAAAAATCTCTCTTTTTCAGATGAATGAAATTGGCCAAAAAATGCTCAAGCACGGACGCATTATAACGCCAAACTCCGACACCATGTGTGGCGTGAATATGAATATAGGCAAATTGTATGTGATTGCTGGTCGCGGACAATATTTAAATAGTTGCAGTTATGTAAAGGAGTATGTGAAGATGTCGACAGTGGAGAGACGTGGATTCACCGGTACCTACTACAAGGGTTGCAAATGTGCGGTAAGTAGAATGAGTGAAGACAGCATACCACAAATAATATATAATAATGAATTTCTATTTATTTGGCACAGATCAAACCCTGTTTCGGCAACAGTTGCTTAGATCAAAGTCAATCGGCAATTTCATGCAAATGGTCACCTTTCGCCAAGTGTGAGACAGACTTTAGTGCCTGCATCCCCACCAGATATCGCACACCCGAAGGTATAATCGCCAAGTGTCATTGGCGAAGAACGCCGGCATATAAAAAGTGCATGGCCGATCCATAAGCAGCACAGAGAATGCAAAGGCTGGGATGTAAATGAGGAGAGCAATTCCTCTATTTCAAACATATTGAGAGCTAAATTTACATTTGTAGAGAGAGGGGAAAAGAGAGAGAGTTTTAACTCGATACCTTCGATTAACGAAATTCGCTGTTAGTTATGTGTAGTAGATTAGTTATCGTTTTACGAAATCATTATTTATTTATTATTAACATGCTATAAATAATAGTATATACTTATACATATGTTTATCAGAATTGTAGTTATTATAAACAAACAGCATTTCCATTTCTTTACATTTCACAATTACACATGTACATTGAAATCACCTGAAAATTTAATTTAATTTAAAAAAATAGTTTTTTATATTTAATTCACCTGAAAGTTGAATATAATAAAAAAAATATTTTTAAACTTTCAATTTCATTAAAAAAAATTATTTTTATTTCTAATTCACAAGAAAGTTTAATTTCATTGAAAAAAATGTAATATTTTTTTATTTATTTATTGCCAAACGCTAACAGTTTACTTTCATTTCATGCTTTAAAAAAATAAGTATTTTTTTAAATTCTCTTTTGTTTACAAATTCTTTCTCTTATTTTTTACACATTTTTCCCCACATCCATTTTCACAATTTTCTTTACTTTCTGCTCTCTCCCATTCAATTAGAGCTTTAACTGTATGTACATAATTAATATTATTAACTGCTATTTGTATTTATTGTAATAAAGCCACAAATAATACATATAAAACCCTGCGTATATATTTGTAACAAAAAAAAAAAACATTTATAAATTTGAAGATCACTTACCAAATCTCTGGCATTGGGGAAGAAGGTTTGATCAATCAATGGAAAAGCGTCACGTCCCAAGCGACGTTGCAATTGCAACAAATGCGCGAATACCCAAGGTTTATCCTACAGAAATTTAAAATAAATACCCATTGTATTAATTTTCCATAAATTTTAAAAACTTTAAAGTATTAATAAAACATAAATTGAAGTGAAATCAAATAAATTCATATGAAATTTACATAAACCGGTGTATACATATTTATATTCCATTAAAATACATATTTTCATGCAGGAATGTATGCAAATATTATTGTATGTATGTACATTCACCTGAAATTGATAAACCGAATGCAATGAATTAATGCTGGGTACACCGCCATACTTTAGCCCAATTATAGTCGAGCGATAATCATTCGAACCATCGCGTGGTGGTTGACGTATTAGCACAAAGTCCGGTCGGAAAGAGCGTGCCACCTGTTTTGAGTAAGAGATAAAGAGAGCGAGAGTGAGATAGAGAGAGGGTATAACAAAATATGCATGTAATATTAGGATGGTCCGCAAATGATTTTTCACCCATTTTCATGAGAAGAATCCCAAAGACGTTGAAAAGTAGGAAAGCACTTTAATCGCTCCATGTTTGGCCAATATTAAATATTACTAGAGTGTTTGTAAAATGATTAGAACTAAAGATGATGCCAAAATTATTTATTTATTTTAAATTAAAAAAATAATAATACAATTATTATTGTAAAGAGAAAAAAAGCAGCAGCTGCCATATTCACTTAACATTTGTTTTAGTAAAAAGTTAAATTTCATCAAAAAAAGTTTAGATCGAGCAAACGGCAAGCGTCATCAATACATAGTCAATATTTACAGAGGTAAATTATAATTTCTGTATACTAAGATACAAGAGTAAAAGTATACTTCGAGCTATTTTCAAACAATAAACACTATTCAAATATCTACGCTCGTCTGTTTGCAAAATTCAACGAAAAAATTTAGGAACAAAACGCTTCGAACGGAAATCATACGCTGGGTTAAAATAAAAAGTTAATCCTGTCATTACCATGAAATGTCAAGTTCACCGAGTTTAATTCTTAAAATGAAATAAAAGCTTGTGATAAAAATCCATCAGCCGTTAGGAGAAAACTTGAAATAAACTGTAGCTTGAAAAAAAAACATCAAAACGTGCGTTTTGCAGCAGGAACTCGGCCGCCTCAGCTGTTACAAAGTAAAAATTATTATTATTATTATTGTCCAACTAGATTTTTTTTTTTCATTTTAGTAATAAGAAAAATTAAGTGAAGAAAAAAAAATAAAACACAAATTTTCTTAAGCCAAAAGAAACAGAAATTTTCCAGCAACTCACTTTTCAAAAAATAGCAATAAGTCAATATGGCAGAATATTTTCCTTAAATATATGTATTTATATTAATTTACATATTTTCCTTCATAATGATCCCAAAAAAAGTTTTCATAACTGAAGTAGTCTTGATGAAAACATCGTCAAAATTGATCATCTTTGTTAAAATATTACAGTAACACTATTTTCGGCGGACTGGAGCATAAGCAATATATTCTCCTTTTAAACATTTTTTATTTATTTTATAAAAAAAAATTTTACATTAAAAAAAAATCAGTATATTTTATAGTCCATTATCCTATATTTAAAGCTCTAATAAATTCCACCCAAATATGCCCTTACATTTTTGGATCACCCTAATATAGTTAAGAGAAATTAAAAAACAGTGTGACATAACTGACATTTTTTACATTTGCGTGCGTAAATACGTAATGCGTCCCTGGCGTAAATCTTTTTTATTCATTTTCGTGCGTGCGGCCTCTTTAAATGCGTAAATCATATAAATGCGATCAAATTTGATGGGCATAATCAAACATATTCAACATATGAGTATGCGAGAGTGAGATTAAATGCGATATTTTTCCCAAGTGAACAACACTGAGAACGCAACTAAAAATTGCATCAAATAAATTATTTCTGCGTAAAAATATTACGTGTACATACATATATAGCATTTAACTCAAAACACTTGCTGAGCTCTTTATAACCGCTGAAGCGGTTTTGAAGGAGCTCCAATTTGCGACATTCAAAGAAATTAACTCCAGCGGATGATTTGGAGTTTGGCGAACTCTCGATCGCACTGACATAGCTTACACGTCGCATAGATCACAAGCAATATTTGAAGGATTACACCTTCCGGTAGATGGAATTTGTGATCATTTAATCCCACTCAGCTGTGACAGTTTGGTAAAATTTACAAGAGAACCGATGGTGTCCTTCTCAACATAAATAATTATGTCTATGAAGCTGTGAAAGCTTCAAACGAAACTATTGATTTTCGAAGAGATCAGAAGAATAGCTGGGACGATGAAGATTGCGGTAAAAAGATTATTGAAGAATAATTTGCCTCTGTGTCGTTTAGTCTGAATTTGGTATTCCCACAAAACTGAAACGGCTGCGTAAACTGACGCTAGGCAACACCAGGAGCTACGTCAGGATCAGGAAGACTGTTTCAAGACATTTAATACGAGGTTTCAGACAAATTGTCCCTTTATCGTATTAGTTCTTTAATTTATTGCTGGTTTCGTGAAAATAATACTAGCTGCAGCACTGAATAGAGTATAGAGGAGGTACAATCTTCTATAAGAGTATACAGCCACTAGGATAAGGAAACGAAGCATATGGGACTGGTATTGAACGAGAAAGAAAGCAACAGTCATCGCCTTCGCGACCCCGCTCCCACTACACTCTCACAACTTTAAAGTTGTAGACAATGTCGCCTATCTTGAAACCAGAATTAACACCAACCTTAATCACACCAAGCAGAATTACTCATGCCAACAGGTGCTATAGTACTTTAGACTGAGTAGACAATTGAAAAGTAAAGTTGCCGCTCGACGTACTAAAACCAAACTCTACAACGCCTCATTACCTTCGTCCACCTATATGTTGCAGAAGCTTAAACGATGTCGACACGCGACGAATCGGCGTTGAGAGTCTCCGAGAAAAAACGATTTATAATTCTTTGCAGTGAACTGTACGAAATACGGCATAGTTCAGAGAATCAAGAAACAAATAGAAGAGAATCCCAACAGTGTCACATCTGACATTATAACAGAATAATATTTAATGGAGCTTCGATGAAAGGATGGGGTGTTACCTAAAGGCATGAAGAAGAATAGTCTTTCACCTGCTACATCTGTCATTGTTCAGAACTTAATACCAGGTGTTACCAATGACACGCTGCGCTCCCTACAGCAAAACTTAAAAAGCGCACAGCACAGACAAGAATGTATGTGGGATGGCCACGAGCTGGCAGCCATATTAACTTAACTTAACTCATATGCTTATGCACCAGCTCTTTAGCAAATACATTTGAAGCCTGCGTGGCCTTAGATGCCTTCCGGGCATCCGGTAAGATCATTGAATCCCATCTCATTTTCTCTTACCAGCTTAGCGCTTAATCAATAATATCTCACTTCCACATGCCTAGATATGTAATAATACTTTAATAGACTGCTTAAAGACTCATTCTGCCTTATAGAAGCAGTCCGCTTTTAATGAGATAGGCAGAGAATTTCAAGGTCATTTATATTTCAAGAAAATTATGTAGCTGAGACTGCTTGAATATTTTAAAAATAAGATAATCAAAGCATTGGTTCTGCAATTGTTGCTTTGAAAATATTCAAGCGTTTTTCAGATGAGCTCCTCTCTTACTTTGCGGTATACGTTCATTCTAAGGCGCTTCCGAACGGGCAGTGGTTTTTTATGAGGAGCTTTGATTTCCAAGCAAAAAATAGAGCCGGGGGTCTTGACATCCTCTGCCGAGGAGTGACCGAAATTTGAAAAATTAATTTTCCATAACATCTGAAGTAGACTCAATGAAATTATTGCTAAAATCAAAATTCATTCGTGCTTCGTTTCGCTCTCTCGATATAAAATTAATTATTTATGCATCCATTAGGGCAGTAAGTTTGAAGGAGGTCAAAGTGAGAATAATAAAGTTGTATTCAATTACCACCTAAGTGCTTAGTGGCAACTTTATTTCTTACAAAATTACTAGACAAGCCAAAAAAATATCAAAAAAGTAAAATATGAAAAGAAAAGAAGAAATAAGCTAATCATTGCAAAAAAAAAATAAAGAAATAATCAAAGGAAATAGAAAAAAATTAAAAATTTATAAACGTGCATTTATCTTAATCCTAAGCACGCTTACATAACATACATTTTTATGCACCATTGATTTTATGGCATAAGAAACTTGTAGGGGCAACGGCGACTTAGACGCACTCAAACGGAATACGCTTGGGGCACATCATGTCGAACACGCATTTACGTATGCACTCGTATATGTAAATACTTGTTTAAGTAATACATTAATGGCGCTGACCTTCACACCACAAGTGGAACAAGAGAAACAAATTCATATAAGCACACAAAGCGCACAAAGCATCACGGAAGCCTAATTGCCGATAAGACCAACACGCAGAGCCATTGCTCTCCTTGCTTACAACCAGCGTAATGTGAATGTAATGTGAAGTCCCCATTGTAAATTGGAATAACCCTGCGAACAAGAAATATTCACAATAAAGAAAAATTGTGTAGAAATTCACTACAGTCCAGATCCGGAATTAAGCTAGTTTCTCTTCTCCAACATTTTCAAAGCAAACACAATACAATAAAATATTCAGCAAAATTAGGAAACACCGTTGGGAGCGTCAATATTTTTCAGAGATGACTTACTACATGACAGAGCTCGGCCTTACACATTGAGAAAACTCCTCCAAAACAAACATTTCCTTAGTATCCGCCGTCTTTTTGAAAGTTATTGAAAAAATTCTTGCTCCTTGAAGAGTAGGGAGTTATGTATGTAATGGAATATAGAATGGGCACGCCGGAAAACTAAAACATTTTTCAGTTTTTTATTGACCAAACATCGAACTTTCTTCAGATCAGATTTGCTTTCATTACAAATGAATCATTATAGACTAAAACCATTCGAAAAGTAGAAAGAGAAGTTAGAAATTGAAGTCTGCTCTAAACAACAGGATACAATCAAAGTGATCTGTAGTCTCAACACGATTTCTCATTGAGTACGAAAGAGCTAAGAGGCACTGAACAGATGTTTATTCACAAACAGAAAGAACCTCACTTGGAAACCTGGTCATAACTGGAACTTCGGTTCATATGGTGAACAGGAAATACGTACGAGTATCGTACTCAGCATAGCAGTAGAAGTTATCAAGCTCCTGAGATTTCAGCTGCAGAGAGTAGCAAAGAAAGAATCATCTAATTTCCTGGCATGACCATTGACATTGGTCCATTTTCCGTAAAGCTGAGTAGTTTCCTTCCTATCTAAGCAAAAAAAAACTCATTTTAAGTACAGTTTTTTCTAATAGGATAGTTCTTGGCCCACCTCGTGGTGAGAAAAGTAGTACTCCTATTAATCTAAGCAAAAAGCTACCTATGTACCGGATATCAAGTAAATCGTACCATGAATAAAATTTTTTCGATTAGGTCAGTCAATTGCCAACTTTCCGACAATTTTCGTAAAACCAATCGGTTTGGCAACTTTTAAAGATTTTTGAAGATTACTGGATTTTTCCAAACGGCCATAGGATTTTTCCGGTAGCAGTCCCCTTTGAAGCTGCAACTTTTAGACATGCTTCAACAACGCATTCAAATTGTTAAATTTCTCTATATAAATGGTGAAACTCTGGCAGAGACAATTTGTTGGGACAAGTGTTGCAGAAAGCCTAGGTTTGTCATTTCCTCGTAGTTCCTTGGAATTGGGTATTCCACAATTTCATTGAAAAATCATCTGGCTGATGAGACCAATTTCCAATTCAATGATACGTCACTAAGCAAAACTGTCGCATCTGGAGCTCGGAAACCCCAGAATTATAATTGAAAAGACTGTTTGGTGCAGCTAATGGTCCGGCGAGATCATTATATCTTACTTTTTGAAAATGAATAAAAAAAATACTCTACCGAGCCTTGACTAAGGTTTTTTTATGGCCGAAATTGGATGGTATTGATTTGGACAACGTTTATTTTCAACAAGACGGCACTACGTGCCCCCGAAGCAACGAAACCCTCCGTGTTATCTCTCGAAAAGGTGGTCGTAGATGGCCACCGAGATATTGTGATTTAACACCTTGGACTTCACACTTTCTGACCACGTGAAAGATGTAAGATCTAAATCAACAGGCGAACGTCGATGCCGCTATTAAGGGCATAAGCCACTTTGGGATTTTTTAATATAAAATTTGATAAAAAGGATACGGTCTTGTAAGCGTAGCCGTGGCGGTCATTTTGCGGAGATCATTTTCCATTATAAATAGCAAGACTTGCTTTTAACATCGAAGTAAACATTTGTCTTTAAAAATGTTGTTTTTTCTAACAAATGGAAGGACCTATCTTAGCTTATTCCAAGCCGCCTCCGCACGACCAATGATTGGTTGGAGCTTAGATCAACAAAAAGAACAAAGGCTACTAATCTTCCTTAAACTAGTTTAACACGATTTTGGCAAAGTAATTCTTAAATACAATTTTTGCGTAGATAAGTTGATGAAGTGGCTTTAAAGGAGTCCAAGAACAGAAGTTTCGGAAGCACAAACGCAGTTCTAGGGATCTTAAGATCTATTGCGGAATTGCAGAATGGGATGTTTTCCCCTCAAGTTATCTTTGACGAAACTGTTAAAGCGAATTTCTTGTATTGCATTTCTTGCCGAGAGAGCACATACCTTTGGCTGATGAGGTTGGAGGGCTCATTAAATTGCCTCAGCCTTTGTTAGTTTGCGTTTTGATAAACACAAATGGTTAGTAAAGCATTAAATGAGGTTTACAGCCTACATGTATGCACACTCTTACTAAGTATTATACATGATTATATGAAAATATATGCGGTTGAGTGGCTTGACTGCAATTAACGGTAATAAAAAAATGAAAGCAAAACCAAAGAGCCATTCAAGTTCACAAAAGTTAAGACTAGACTGGGTGGTTGAGGCAGAAAGCCATTTACACACTTACACATGTACATACATTTGTATGTATACACTTGTTTTTGTATGTACATACATACTACATTTACTTATATGCATATCCTCAACGTGAATGATGTGCCAACATTTACTCAACTTGGTCAACAGGGAGCAATTAAAACACAAACTTACATACATGAATGTAAACATAATACACATACACACGCACTCGCACACACACATGTAAGCTGATACAAAGTAAGCTTTGTTTAATGATATGAGTACGGTTATGAGTGTGAGAGCCGTTTAAATCAAAGTTTATCGTGCAATTACTTACCCTGGTGCCACCACGGTAGACGGCCATAGAAATAACGGGTCCAGTTTCGGCGCTGGCAGTTAGCGAAATGTCCTGCAAGCATACGTAGATATGTAAATATTGAAATTTTCTACAAAATATATTCAACATATATAACGGTATGCAAAAAAGAGAGCCCGAACGACGTCAGAGAGCGTGGAAAATATGAAAAGAACGGTGTAAATGCGCGTTTACTGTTAGTTAAATTTTTAATGAGTATAAGGTCAAAGGTGAAAGTGCTGAACAATGTTTAAAATGTACAAAAACGAAAAGAAAAGACAATAAAAACTAACAAAACACATTTTCCACTGAACAGTGCCTACCACATAGTTATATACGAATATATCAGATTATATCTGTCAAATACCGCCACTAACACTCTCTTGAATTGCAATATTTTATGCACTACAACTATACATAATTTCTTTCACCCTTCGCTCGGTTTTTTTTTTTTTTGCCTCGCACTTTGCGCTACTCACCCGGAATTCAGCCTGCTCCACACGTATATCGAAGTCGCCATGCAGCCGCTTGCCGCGGAAATATTTCGACCAGTCGGTGTTTTGGTCGTCGAGTACGAGCAAGGTGAAATACTTGTCCTTGTTGAAGGTTGGCGCTCGTGTGGCACTCTGCACCGCAGCACCTAAATGTATGCATGCATTTTTAATGAGACTGCATTAGTGGTGATTAAAGTGGTGATGGCAGTATTAATGTGTAGTAAATTCTTTCTTTTTTATTTTTGTTTTTATTTTGCATATTATACATAAATAAAGACAGGAAAGATAGAACAGTTTTTTAAACTTTAGTTTGTAGTATTAAAAAGTTTTAATGAGCGCAAAAGTTTTGACATTTTAATTTTTAAAACAACGTCAAAAACTTAGTCCGGGCATGCCAGTTGAACGGCTAATTTTATTAACAGTTAGCAAACTGCTTAATTGCATTAAGTAAAAGTGTGGTAAGTATGCACAACAGATTTAATTTTTTATATTTAATGCAAATATGAAAATTATTGAAACAAATTTACGGTGTCTTATTTTGTAATTATTTTATGTGGTAAACGCAAACTTTAATTTCTTCATACATTAAAGAGAAATATTTTTTCTCTCTTTAATTAAAGTTAAACGGTATATTTTTTGTGAGTTTTTTTTAGAAATAATACAAATTTTCAGAAACTTGTATAACTACTACATGTACACGTATAACCAAAGGAAAAGCATACGAAGAATCTACCATTTGATTTATCAGCAATGCGACAATAATAATTTGAATGATGTCCTTTTCTAGTTAATTAGAAATAAAAACATGAATGCTATTTTATTTCATTTTTATTATTCTTAATTACATTTTATTCAATATTATTAAATTCAAAAAAATTTTACTTTTTTATTTATTGAATTTAATTTCCTTAATTTTTTCTCTTTTCTTTTTAATTTACTATATTTAACTACGTTTCATTCAATAATGTTAAAAAGAACTTAGTTTTACTTTTTTTTATTTATTTTAAATTTCATTATTTTTTTTCTATTTAACGTAATTTATTTTAATTTAATTTTAGTTTAAATCATTTCTTTTTTATTTTAATACTATTTTATTTATTTCTTTCTATTTTATTTTAATTTATTTTTTATTTAATTTAATTTTATTTTAAATTTTTTAATTTGTTTTTAAATTTCATTTCAATTAACTTCACTTTATTTAATTTTATTTTTTTTTTTACTTTAATTTAGTTTATTTTATTTTATTTTATTTTATATTTTTTATTTTAATTTATTTTGCTCTGTTTATTTCATTTTATATTATTTTTTTTTAATTTATATTATATTATTTTTGTTGGATTCTTACTCTGCTACCTTCGGGTTCCAAGTAAAACACGCTTGCTTCTATGCAATTCAGTATAATAAGTATAAGTGTTTATTCAACAGTTAGAAATGAAGGACTGACTGAATGTTCTCGGTTTCAGTTATTTCAAAAACATTACAGGGTTGCATAATATGTTAGTTGCTAATAGGGTTACATTTCAACACGCCTCCTCAACGAACATATTTTGCATACTAAACAAATAATATAATTAATTTAAACTCAACAATTTTGTAAATTTCTCATGACTGGGTCTTGGTAAATTCTTTGTAAATATATCTGCTATCATGTTACTACTACTACAATAGTTCAATTCGATTTCGCCTCCTCGATAGACATCTCTTATGAAATGATAAAAGTTAAGTAATTGAACTGTTTTTTCAGCCTACCGACTTCTCCGGTACGAACTAGCTTAGGCCTACCTGGTCCACGCTTCATTGGTGTAGGTTCTTCTTCAGCAGACTCAAAATCATCTTCACTACCACCAGGCAACACATCTACGTTTTCAATTTCTTCTACTACTTCATCTTCGTTTATGTTATTGTTTTCTTCTT